TATTGTCCGATGTAACTGTTAGCAAATAGGTAGAAACATTGAGATGATGAGTCACAATATTTTTAAGGGTAAACTGTTAGCAAATTTAATGCCTCAGACTAAATGAAGCAATCTTTTGAATTCCTATGAATTAGTTAAAATGGTCTTATATATAAGGACAAAAGCAGTATATACGTTCTACTGTCTAACTTTACTTTGTTGTTTCAATTGTTTCTGGGATTTCATAGGATAATAGGAGGGGATGAGTAAGCTAGGTTGGAAGCTGGTGTCGGAGTGGACACCTTTTTTATAGTTTTTTTTTGCTGCTTAATTATTATATACTGCAGGCGTTAAAGAAAATTATGTACTACAACAATTTCTCACTCTTTCTGGGCCTTGTACCAACCTCAACCAATTATTTGAGCAACCTTATTTATTTTTATTTTGAAAATCAGAAACAGTTTTTGAAAATAGACAGTATTATCCAGAGCCTAAATCTTAGTTTTCAGTTTTATCTTTCATTGACATTAATCCATGTAATATTCAGTTTTAAATCTAAAGGAAAAAGTAAAAATGCAAACAGAATAGCAAAGTAAAGTATCAATATCATCCAGAGCCAAAAGTTTGTCATTAAGGTTGAGATTTCTGGTATACATTCAGTGGTAATGTGGTTTCTTTCTGTTTCTGTAAGATATTGGATATTCCATTTTGGAAGCTTATTCCAGAGTTCTAGCAAATTTAGCCTTCAGCATCCTGTCTAGAATAGGATATATATTGCAGGAGGATTCTTCAAGCAATCCTTCACCTTTGGCGATAGATTGCTCTCGTGGGATAAATCTCTCTCACACTTGGGTGGTTGGTTCACATTTGAGGCAGTCCTTAGTTGACAAGATGAACAAGGATGATGAACAACATTGTGATTCTAGCTGTTACAGTACTTCTGATTTAGAACATTCGCCTAACAATACCAAATCCGAATCTGTAATATCCACGCCAAACCAGAGTGGTGGCTGGTGCAATAGTAGAGAAGCTTGTACAAGTCTGTCTCCTAGACATTCTCCATAGTAGCTTTTGTTTAGACCCTTCTGTAAATGTTATTGTTATTACTACAAGGCATGCTCAGTAAGAATAGAGAAGCAAACTGATAGGGTTCCCTGCCCTCAATTTTTGGTTGGTTTTATAATATACAATCCTTGGTCATAAATTATAATGGAGAGGTTTGGTACAAAAGGGTTACAAATTAAGAAGAGTGTGTTTAGTTTGATGTTAGTTGCTGAATCGATCCTGATCATCTCAAAGTGTATCCTCTGCTTTGGTTGGATGACAGGGTTTTTTTATTACAAAAATGTTTCAAATACAACAAAGTGAAGTAAATACATTTTGAGGTGTATATCTTTGTATAATAAATTAAACAAAAACTAAGATCATAGATAGGGATGGGAAAAATTCAAAATATTCAAATCCACCTATTTTAATGGAATCATCTTAAATCTACATACATATTTAGAGATTTTAAATCAAATCTAATTAGTTGGATTTGGATTGAATATGAATTGAGTTATTTTTTTAAAATTTAAAATATTCAAAATAAACTTAGGTTGGGTAAATTTGGTTAGGAAGAATTGGATATGACAACAAAATTAGATTGAGTAAAGTCGAATCAAGTTAAGCTAAATCATAGAGTCGAGCTAGATCCAATCATAGTAAGTCAGGTAGGGATATATTATGTCAAACCAGACTGATTCATATCCGATCGGATATGATTGAGCCAAGACAGTAAGTCAAGCTTGGGGAGGACATAATTGTGTATGATATAATGCTGTTGTGACAATTGTTTCCTGCAATCAACCTGTTTCTACTATTCTCATTGCCCATAACAAGAGACATAAGAGAAGAGGGGTCATTGAGTTATTATTTAAAGTACGAATTTTTTTACTAAAACTTGAAATATGCAGCAGAAGAAACACTTTTAACCAAATAGCAAATGAAAAAGGTGTTAGATATGAACAAAAAAGGATTACATTAAAAACAAGGATTACTACTTAGTTTGGATTAAATAAAAGTAATCGTATCAATGAATGTTTTGTAGATGTCATCATTGTTGTGTATATTTCATGCAGAAGCTTATCTTTTTCTTTCCCTTACATATGGATTTAATGCCTCGTAATCAACTGAAAAAAAAAAAGTTAGCTCATTACATCTTCACCAATTGGTAAAGGGTTTATTCGTTGTCTGGAACCCGAAAGAAAAACAAACAAATTGGCATAACCCGGACTTAGGAAATAAAAGTATTGAAGTACAAGAAGTCAATAACTGGAAGGAATATTAAATCTGTCCATAATATATGTTCCATGAAAGATGGATTTGAATTATATAGACAGCTAGAAAACTGAGAAAAATTCATGGACAAATTTGCACCCGGTTTAACTTCATTGAAACGACACTGCAAACACCTGTTTCCTAAATGACTACAGCACTTGATTTCAGATTTAACTGAATGAAATTCAAGAATTCCATTACATTTCTTTTGAGAATATAACAAGATGACATAAAAGAAAATTAGCTAATAGCCCAAGCTAAAGTAATGAAGGGTGTGTTTAATCATTGACTAATAAATTTACAAAGTTCTATTACAATGAAAAGACTGTTGTATCCAGAGAAAAAAAATGTGAATAGAAATCATTTTACGTTGATCTAAATATTTGTTAAGTTTTATTTTAATGACATTCAAATTAATTTCCTATATTATTATTTTTGGAGAAGAAAGCTTCTTTGTACTCATAAATAATTCATGAAAAAGAATGTAAAGCAGACAACTCATGCACACACCTCAGGTTAGGTAGCTTTCTCTTACTCTTTCATGTACATTTAACATGTAGAATTCAACTCACTGCTATTGAAGGCGAATTTTTATTATAATTAATAATATAATTTTTTTTTTTCGAATGTTTTGAAGTGATGAGCAGATGTGAGAGTGAGAGTGCTAGTATTAACGGAATCGATAAACCAACCTCGAGTCGCCGACTAGTCGACGTTATTTAAAACTACATAGAGAGTTATTGGACAAATGTTTGCTCAACTTTAAGCATTTCTCTTAGTTTTGCAAAACATTGATCTAATAACTTTCTATATAGTTCTAAGTAACGCCAACTAGATGGCGAACATATTCTAGGTGACATTTATGACTCTGAGATTCGTTTATCGATTCCGTTAATACGAGCACTCTCACTCTCACAACTACTCATCACTTCAAAATATTCGAGAAAAAAAAAAAAATAATATTATTAATTATAATAAAAATTTACCTTTTTTTTTGAATGTTTTGAAGTGATGAGCAGCTGTGAGAGTGAGAGTGCTAGTATTAACGAAATCGGTAAACCAACCTCAGAGTCACAAATATCACCTAAAATACGTTCGCCGACTAGTCAACGTTATTTAAAACTACATAGGGAGTTATTGGACAAATGTTTGCTCAACTTTAAGCATTTCTCTTAGTTTTGCAAAACACTGATCCAATAACTCCCTATGTAGTTCTAAATAACGCCAACTAGTTGGTGAACTAGTTGGTGAACGTATTCTAGGTGACATTTGTAACTCTGAGATTGGTTTATCGATTCCGTTAATACAAGCACTCTCACTCTCACAACTACTCATCACTTCAAAAAATTCAAAAAAAAAAATAATAAATAATATTATTAATTATAATAAAAATTTGCCTTTTTTTCTGAATGTTTTGAAGTGATGAACAACTGTGAGAGTGAGAGTATTAGTATTAACGAAATCGGTAAATCAACCTCAGAGTCACAATATTAACGGAATCGGTAAATCAACCTCAAAATCACAAATGTCACCTAAAATACGTTCGTCGACTAGTCGACGTTATTTAAAACTACAAGAGTTATTAGACAAATGTTTGTTCAACTTTAAGTATTTCTCTTAGTTTTGCAAAACATTAGTCTAATAACTCCCTATGTAGTTCTAAATAACGGCGAACGTATTCTAGGTGACATTTGTGACTCTGAGGTTTATCGATTTCGTTAATACGAGCACACCAGATGAGTTGAATACTACATACATGTCGGATGTACGTACACGTCGGATGTACGTACACATGAGCAAGATGTATGAGCAAGATGTATATGAGCAAGCGAAAGCTACCTAACTTAAGGTGTACTCGCTTTAAGTTCTTTTGTTCGTCACGAGTTGCTCGTCAGTTCAAAACATTAAAAAAAAAAACAATATAATAATAAATAATATTATTAATTATAATAAAAAAATACAATATAATAATAAATAATTTTATTAATTATAATAAAAAAATTATTATGTAATTTTATAATAAATAATTTTATAAATTATAATAATAAAAAGCAATAATAAATAACAATAATAAATAACAATAATTAAAAAAAATTATATTATTATCTCCGTTGGTATGCAACTCCCAAAAAAAATAATATTATTAATTATAATAAAAAAATACAATATAATAATAAATAATTTTATTAATTATAATCAAAATAAAAAAATTATTATGTAATTTAATAATAAATAGTTTTATAAATTATAATAATAAAAAACAATAACAAAAAGCAATAATAAAAAGCAATAATAAATAACAATAATAAATAATTTTATATTATATAGTATTTTAATTAAAAAAATATATTATTACCTCCGTTGGTATGCAGCTCCCAAAATTAAAAAGGTATGCAGTGAATATTAATTAGATAGAAAACTTAATTATATAGTATTTTTATTTCAACGATTTGAGTAAATTATTCAATACGGGACTAATAAGAACTAAAACAACTTTAGCCAGATCATAAAAAAACAGCGTAGAGACTAAAACTTGCACTTTCACTACATAAGAACTAAAATTTTAAATAGAGACAAATATTATCAGGAACAGCTAACCAAGTGAAACTATGAAAGGGAATGCAGGGGGTGAAATTACCTGAGACTTTGCAAGGGAGAGAAACTCAACAGGAGCAACATTTCCTGAATTACATCTCAAGTTTCTACCAGAAGAAAAGGTAGACAGTGGCTAAAAATGAGGCACTTGTGACAAACTGCATGTTGTTCCATCTCTGGCGGAAGATGAGGCCACCAGGAGTTTTCTGAACATTGCGAGAACCCTTTCCAAGGTATGAGCACATGAAGGATTCAGCCTTCTGTTGATATCTCTCTAAGACTGGTGCATGATGAGCAGCTTTGCCCTGCATCAGGAACTGTAACGAAGAAACAAAGAAAACTCCTTTAGCCACTAATGTTTAACAAAATACGCACAGAAGAAGCTAAGAATTATTGGAATTATTACCTTGGCAACCAATGTCTGAACCCCAGCATACTTGACATCCCAACCAAATTCAGTCATGCTCCAACCAGTTCCACCCATGGAATCATCGTTTCTTCCAAAGTAATCCAAGTAACACTGATTGTTAGATGCTTGATACAACCAAGCAGCAGCCCAGAGCAATTCATCCTGCACGTACAATTACCAACACTCAATCAACTACTATTACTTTTGTTTACTCCTATTTACAATTGATTTTATTTTAATGTTAATTCAAGCCAATAACTGCATCTGAACGTTATATTAAATTAGTTCAAATTTAATATAGAAAACACAATTAAAAAAGAGAAACATACATTGTAGTCACTGATCGATCTGTAGTACTTCTGGGCAACGGTAATGCTGCTGTCATATTTGCCTCTGTATTTGTCAGCAAAATCGAACAACTGCAAATGAACAAAAGGCAAAAAGGATCGGTCAGTTGAGCAAGACCTGGTGGAAATGAAATGGAATAAAGTGAATCCATTACGACTATTATCATTCAATAAACTAATTAATTAATTAAGCTTATACTAAGTTGGTGAAACATTTATTAGATCAACCTCTCAAATATCCTCATTTATTAATTTATTAGACGCAACTAAAATACCCAAGACCAGAGGATAATCAGATTCAGATCCGTGACGCAGGAGCATATTTTATTTTTACTCAAGGGCATTATTGATATCAGAATTTCCCCAACTCTAATAAATGAATAATTAAATGCAACGTGTTTTTCACTTATAGTATTTTAATTAAAAAAAAATTATATTATTACCTCCGTTGGTATGCAGCTCCCAAAAAAATAATATAATAATAAATAATATTATTAATTATAATAAAAAAATACAATATAATAATAAATAATTTTATTAATTATAATCAAAAAATACAATATAATAATAAATAATTTTATTAATTATAATCAAAAAATACAATATAATAATAAATAATTTTATTAATTTTAATCAAAAAATACAATATAATAATAAATAATTTTATTAATTTTAATCAAAATAAAAAAAATTATTATGTACTTTAATAATAAATAGTTTTATAAATTATAATAATAAAAAACAATAATAAACAACAATAATAAATAACAATAATAAATAATTTTATATTATATAGTATTTTAATTTAAAAAAATATTATTACCTCCGTTGGTATGCAGCTCCCCAAAATTAAAAAGGTATGCAGTGAATATTAATTAGATAGAAAACTTAATTATATAGTATTTTTATTTCAATGATTTGAGTAAATTATTCAATACGGGACTAATAAGAACTAAAACAACTTTAGCCCATGATAGTCCATCATAAAAAACAGCGTAGAGACTAAAACTTGCACTTTCACTACATAAGAACTAAAACTTTAAATAGAGACAAATATTATCAGGAACAGCTAACCAAGTGAAACTATGAAAGGGAATGCAGGGGGTGGAATTACCTGAGACTTGAGACTTTGCAAGGGAGAGAAACTCAGCAGGAGCAACATTTCCTGAATTACATCTCAAGTTTCTACCAGAAGAAGCAAGATAGGCAGAATAGACAATGGCTAAAAATGAGGCACTTGTGACAAACTGCATGTTGTTCCATCTCTGGCGGAAGATGAGGCCACCAGGAGTTTTCTGAACATTGCGAGAACCCTTAGCCTTCTGTTGATATCCCTCGAAGACTGGTGCATGATGAGCAGCTTTGCCCTGCATCAGGAACTGTAACGAAGAAACAAAGAAAACTCCTTTAGCCACTAATGTTTAACAAAATACGCACAGAAGAAGCTAAGAATTATTGGAATTATTACCTTGGCAAACAATGTCTGAACCCCAGCATACTTGACATCCCAACCAAATTCAGTCATGCTCCAACCAGTTCCACCCATGGAATCATCGTTTCTTCCAAGGTAATCCAAGTAACACTGATTGTTAAATGCTTGATATAACCAAGCAGCAGCCCAGAACAATTCATCCTGCACGTACAATTACCAACACTCAATCAACTACTATTACTTTTGTTTACTCCTATTTACAATTGATTTTATTTTAATGTTAATTCAAGCCAATAACTGCATCTGAACGTTGTAGTCACTGATCGATCTGTAGTACTTCTGGGCAACGGTAATGCTGCTGTCATATTTGACTCTGTATTTGTCAGCAAAATCGAACAACTGCAAATGAACAAAAGGCAAAAAGGATCGGTCAGTCCTGGTGGAAATTATCATTCAATAAACTAATTAATTAATTAAGCTTATGCTAAGTTGGTGAAACATTTATTAGATCAACCTCTCAGATATCCTCATTTATTAATTTATTAGACGCAACTAAAATAGCCAAGACCAGAGGGGTAATCAGATTCAGATCCGTGACGCAGGAGCATATAGCATATTTAATTTTTATGCAAGGGCATTATTGATATCAGAATTTCAGAAACATCTTTCACTCTTCATCACCCCAACTCTAATAAATGAATAATTAAATGCAACGTGTTTTTCACCTATCACCAACAGTGACAGAAAACAGGAACGGAATCACGAAGTTGGTCAAAGAGGAAAGCGAAGGTAGCAGAAAATAGAGGTCCAACTTAACAAAAAACGAGTAAAGAAAAACAACACAATTTGAATTTATTGTTTTATTCTTATTTTAAGACCCAATTCAATAAGGATACAATTTTTTATCCTACTTTCCAATCAAAAGTCTCACCCTTCTATTGGAACCCTACATTGAACAAACTTCCACATGACATTAACAACAACATTTTAGACTAACACATAATTGAAAGTGAGCGAACTTCCAAATCACATTAACAAAAACATATTTTAGACTTAATTGCCGCCTACGTAAAACATGGAAAACATGTAACTTATCAAACGTAAAACATGGAAAACATGTCTCCGTGACTTATCACATATAAAACTCACTTATTTATAACATTTTTTTATTCACTCTACTCAGTAGAGTAATCAACGTGGGACTAATAACTCAGTAGAGTAATCAATGTGGGACTAATAACTCAGTAGAGTAATCAATGTGGGACTAATAAAAGATATTGTGGTGCTTTTTTTGTCAAGGACTCAGTTCTCCATTTGCAGAACCCTTGACACTCAGTCTCACATTGAGTCAATAGATGCAGACAATCTGGTTTCAATTTTAGGTTTGGATGAATGATATATATATATATATATATATATATATATATATATATATATATGCATAAGACACAAGCTAAACAATACAAAGAAAGACAAGCCAATCAATCCACACATGTCAACAGTGTGTCAATGTCACGGTATTGCGTCACAACATTTAAAGCCACAAAAAGGCTCGGCATTGCAGTTTGGCAATGGAACAGTTATGATGAATGTAGTAGTTTGGACAGATAATAATATAAAAACTCCAACCCTGCATCATCGTTAATGGTCTAATTTTGTTATTTCGTACTATCTTCTCTAGTGTTTTCCAGCATTTTCATACACACCTCAGCAACATGCTCTCTAATCCGTTATATCTGAATGATATACTAACTCAAACATATTCTGGCATTTTCAAAAAGAGCCAACACTTCTATCACATGCTCTCTTCCCAACTTAAATTCTGATCAATGCAGTCAACCACTATATGTAATTAGTCTTAGATCAAATGTAGATCAGGAAAACTATCATGAAATCCATCTATTTTCCTAAGGCAGGAAAACTATCATAACATCCATATATTTTCCTAGGCATCCATATATTTTAATGTTTATAATCTTTAAGATCATATTATATTCAAATATTCAAAACAATCTCAAAATAATAATAATAATAATAATAATAATAATAATAATAATAATAATAATAATAATAATAGTGATAGCAGAGAGTCACGTCTCAAAAGTCTTTCTCTATATCCTACACAATTCACCTGTAATTGCTTCATAATCTCAAACAAATTCTTTTTTGTTACGGTTTTCAAGCAGATAGCAATCACTAATCAAATAGAAATCACAAAATGACAGTACTTAATTAGCTCAAGGTATAAAATACAACCTAATAAATCTATGATTATTTTAGTTCAAAAATAAAAATACAACCAAAGCACCTCAGAAACTTTCCTGGAGTAGATTCCAAGTAGATTCTATGAATAGGGATCCATGACGCTTTCGGCATAGAGAAGATAAACTAAATTTAACAACGGATCTGATAAGCAGATATTGAAATAAATTTTAAATATCATAAAAAATTACCGGTAATAGAATCTGAAAGATGAGATCTGAGCGAGAATAACTAGAAAATGACACAAGCCTTCACTGCGGCCTCCGATTCAGTTGATGCAAGGCGGGATCCAATTCGTCGCCGGCCAGCGCTCCACCATTTCTCGCGAAAACTGGTTCCCGACCTGCACCAAGCGAATTAGAGACCGCACGGTGAGAGAATCAAAATCCCCAACGTAATCGCTGACAAACCACCAAACAAATTTCTCTACCTTCCTATCATGACGAAGGAGGTAGAGAGAGAAAGAGTTGAAGAGAGACTGCGAAGGCAACCCCAAACCCACCTTATGTGGTGAAGGGTAAAGATTGGGTTAGCATTAGGTTATTTATAAAGAGCACAGACGAAGGAGATAAAGACACGTGGTGCCCAAGTTATCGCTGATGTGATTAATACTGTGCAAGTGGTTTTTTTTTAGGATCAAAGCGCGGTATGCAAGGATTGCGGGTTAGATTTACTGAAGTAATGTCATTTCTTCGAAGTACGTGGCTGCACGTGCGCATGTTTCTGTAACTGCAACTTCTGAGGTGTGTTTCATTTCCACACTTGCATTTACCAAATTGCCTATCAAATTATGTTCTGTGACATCGTTTCTCCACGGTATCCTGAACTAAAAATAAATTATCACGTTAATGAAATTCATATTTCCTAGACTTTTTTTTTTTTTTATCTACGCTGTATATATAGAAAATAAATAAAATCTCTTTTTTATATTGTCGACCAAAAGTTAGGCAAGGTTTGAGTGATGAAATGGTTGGGCTTCACTGTGCCAAAGTTTTTTTTTTAATTCTCATTGTGAAATATGAAAGAGAAAAATATATAATAGGTGAGTTAGATAGGAAAATTACTATTTATATAATTTAGGTAAGTCTCAATAATGGATAGAGTAATTTGACTTTAAAACAGTAACTATGATTAAAATTGAGATTTGAAGTAGTAGTTTATATATTTTAAAAAAATTACTATTTTCATTAATTTTTGTATATTGTTATCTATTTTTAGGAAGACAGAGAGTCTTATTAAACCACAAAAATCCAAAACTAGTAATTTTCCAGCAATCAACAAGAGGGAAAGGTCATCTCAAAAAGTAACATGAAACAAATAACTATAAAACAAAACTGTGAACCTATAAGTCATCTAACCTTGGTAGAAACTTGGGTTAAACCACCCTTTTCTAACTATTTTTAATAAGATTAATAGAGGTTCATTAATGATATGACTTGAATATACCACAAAAGAGACTCAAAACATTTTTCTTTGTCATGTACAAAAATTATGTAATGTACTTGGTCCACCACCAAAATGGTGAGAACATAGACCCTATTGAAATTTGTTGGTAAGTATATGCATTGTCAATTGTACTAAGGAATTGAATAGTTATAAAAAAAATGAGTATATTTTTATAGAAAATAAGAAACTTATTAAAGCTGTACATTTTCAGGACAATAAAAGTACAGACAGTTTCACGAGGTAAAAGTTACTTTCATGTTATTGTCTAATATTTTCATTACCTAATGGGTTGATTAACTTTGACAATTGGAGCAGAGAAAGATTTGAATCCGCTTTACGTGAAAGACGTGGTGGGATATTCTTTAATCAACTAATAATTATTTATGCTTCTGAATGCTTTTAGGTCGCAAAGGGAGAGAATAATTATTATGTCTTGCTTTTGCTTTCTAGATGTGAGGTTGAATTCTATCAAGTTTCCCAAGTAGTTGTTATTTTGTTGTCGCTCTTTTCTACTCCTTATGCAATCATTGCCATTAAGGTTTTCTTTCTTCTACCTTGATTTTTCCATTGTGGCCTTCAACGAATTTGGTTAAGTCTAGATGGAGTTGGTGCATGAACCTAAGATCGTAGATTGTCTCGTATAGTGGTTGTCTGGGGTTTTGTCTTTAACTACTTCTACTACTGAGATTGAGACACTACATGATCCTGTGTGTTTGCATGTTCTAGCAAATTAAGGACTTAGGAATATGTGACCAAGTTTATTCATCTTGTTAACAAAAACATTGTTAGAATGTCACTATCGTGGGACGCATCACCTAAAATATATGTAAACATGAGCAAGACTTGCATTATATGCTTGTACTCAACTCTTCATGAACCTAACATTTTTATTTTGGGTTTACTAATTCTATATCAAAAATGAGGAAGAAAGAAACAGGGTTTAATAAGATAAATGACTAAATAAATAAAAATACATTTTAATCTTTACCATTATAATAAAAACATTTTTTTATATATTTTTTATGATGGTTAATATATAACAATAAAATAAATTGTTAACTTTTTCTCCACAAAATATTATGTTATAGGGGAAAAGTGGTTAAATAGTTTTTTTTTTTTATAATTTTTTTAGTTTTGTTTTATTATTATTTTTAGTATTAATTTAATCTTTTTTTTTTTGTAAATGAGTCAATGTTATTTTTTTTAATGTTATTAACCTGTTAACAAAAGAATATAAAGCGATACTATTGTTATTATGCTTGTTAATGTAATTTTAATACAACATTCACTTTTAAAAACATAATACCAAATTGACATTAAAAATAAAAGTATGATAAATTTTAAAAAATAAAAATAATAGAAAAAATTATTTATCGAAAAGTTTTTTTTTCTTTTAGAAAATAATAATATTTTTCATCTCACACTACACTCTGTTTTCAGTCAAACAAAACTACGATTATTTTTCGCCACTTTCTCATGCTACAAAATTGTTTTAAATTAATACTTTTTTTAATTAATTTTTTGTCTCGATGTTTTGGTTTTAATTCCTGCTTTATTTTGTTATTATATTTTGTTCTTTTTAATTTATTTCTTTTACTTTTAATCTCTCTTTGTTAATTCTAACGGTGATAACTTCTAATAATAGAGATAACGTCTTTATATACCATGTTTCAAAATATTAAACTCCAGATATTGTTAATGTCATCAAAAGTATCATATAAGGGATACATTTATGAAAAATAAAATAAAAATATTTATTTACGAGACTAAAATAAAAATTTATTTTCTAAAATATTAAAATTGAAAATAAAATATTTATGAAGCTAAAATTACAAAAATTACAAATCTACTTTAAAAATAAAACAAAAATTATGTTTTTTTAATTTATTTTAGTAATCATAAATAATATCATCATTTTGATTTTATATAAATGTATTAATACAACACTTCCGATGACATAATTAATATAAAGTTCACAATTTTATTGCATGATTATATTATAACCATTGTGGGTGCTAAGTTGTGCTTCCATAGCTAGCACTAGAGCATATAGAAATAGAATATATATGTCAAAAGTAGAGTAGGTTGCACATAAGTAGAATAAGACCTTCACGTTATTCTAATGGCACAAGGGTTATATTTTATTTGCAAAGTGCAGCACATTTGTCATTGTTGTTTGGTCAATCAAATCCTTTCATGGATAAGTGTCCCAAAACAGAGCACATGCTTCAATTGGAATATATAAGCAGATGCTTCAGAAAAATAACAATAAACTAACACCAAAATAGATCAATCGTTGACGTTGCAAACACAAATCAATCCAAAAAAAAACTTGGTCCTGTGAGGACCATCCACTTCTTAATTCAATATTAGAAAGATGGTGACAGGAGTGGCAAAGTGGGATATGATGGAACGATCTAGCTAGACATGTAAACATATAATAATATGCTTACAACACTAGGCAAACCTTATGCCACACTTTCTCATGTTGCTTTATCTAGACCTACCATAAAAGAGCCTTAAAGGTGCAACTACTACATTTCCTCATAATACAACAATCAAGGGAAAAATGTATCCCTCATGGGACCCCAACTTCAACCACATACCAATTACTCATATCCCAGCCTCACAGGTGTCACTCTGATTTCCCTTTGAAAATGTCTAAACTGACTATACGTTTTGGTGTACCATGTTGCAAAGTTTTGGATAGAGCCCTGAACTTTTAGGCTTGTAAAGTACAGGCAAGTCCTAACTCTAGATGTTGATGGTTTTGGTAAAGTTTAACTCATGCATTGCTTTTAGCACCTCATGCTAAAAGCCACAAATTGAGGTATGTCATAGAATTAAATAATGGATTTAGATTGATTTAAGCTTTTTATTTTAAGAAAGTGACTATACCAGATTGTATTGTATGAGTATAATAAAGAGATGAAAAAAAAAAAAAGATGTGCACAATAACATGATTGATATGATAGAAACAGACGAGGATAAAAAGATAATGTTGGGAAAAATATCATAAAAGAAGTTATGCAAACAATAGAGCAAATATAGCAATGGCATCTAATATATGTATCTGCAATGAATCAGTATTTAATTAATATAATTTAACAATTCTTCTTTTAAGTCCCAAATTGGCTATTATTCAGATGGCTATTATTTTATTTTAGTACATATTCAGATGTTATATATTTAATAAAAAAAACTTAGTAAACTCTGAAAAATGGTAAAGAACACAAAATCTGATTTCCTTTCTGGAAACTGAGAAAACAGAATATCTCAACACAGGCACCAAATTATAGAGATTCCTCATATTGTACATGCGGTAATACCCCACCCAACAGAACTCAAATTCAGCTTATACTGCACACAATATAACACAACAGAAAAGAAAAGAAGCAGTAATGTCTAGCTAAAGAAAATGAAATCAAACTGGTTCATGGTTGATCCACAAGACGCAAAACTAGTGGTGCCAGCATGCGAGCAACCTTAGGTAAGGTAGGGTATGATAGAGTGCCAAGAATAAACAAATTGAAGCTTAAAAGTACAACAACATCAGATGCAGGTTTATTTCTAATGGAGGAGAAAAACTGCACCACACTCTTCAAGGACATGCCTACAACAGCGAAGAGAGCCACCACAAGAGGCATGCAAGGGTCCTCAGCTTCCCACACAGTGACTCCTACCACAAGTGACATAAGGGCAGTGAAAAGTGATTGTGAAACAGCAATGTGTCGATGATGGTCAAGTGTTGGTGTTTCAATAGTTTCTACATCCTTTGAAATCATTTTGGGACAAACTGGCCCGAACTTTGAGCCTGTTTTCAAGTGTTTAAGGAACTCACTTCTGGTTTTGCTCTCATCTTCCCTAATATCTTTGTGCATTAGAAGATCTTGAAGGGCGATGTTTTGGAATTTCTCACTTTTGTTTTGATCTTTGGAGCTCCAGTATTCCTTTCCTTGAATTTCTTTCAACCTAAGATTTTCATTTGTCTGATCCCGCAACTGTCAAAGACATAAGTTACAAACAAGGCATCAAGTGAGGAAAACTATTCGATCATGCATATGATTACAGAAACCAAGTTAAAGATAAGAATTGTACAACAAAGTGACAGTAAGGGTCATAAAAAAATCAGTAGAAAACTCAATCTATTGTTATACTATGTCCTGATTTATCTTGAACCCTAGTATCTTAACCAAGTTTCAGGATAGCCTTTTATTAATGGAACTTATGCCAACTTTCATAAAATGTTAAATTGAAGAATACGGTTGGTATTTTCTAGCAAATTTAACTGCACTTAGCTAACCGTATGTCAATCTTGATGACTTCATTAAATACTTAAATAAGTATAGTATTCACTTTGATTTCTGATGATTGCAGATAATAAAATTCTGCTTGTTATTTAGTTTCAACTACAATATACAACCAGACACATATAAGAAAAAATTGAAACCTCTTGTAAAATGTACTTTGATTTTATAGCTTACAAACTTCCAAGAAGTAAAAACATAGATTATAATTTATAGATTAGAAACAGTTGCACTCTGTCTATTACCCTGTTAATCTATTAGACTTTTGGATGGAATGTATATTGAAATAAACTTCATAACATGAAATGTTCTCAAGCATTTTATTTTATTAAGGATTTAGCAAGCTCACCTTATCATAAAGTTCAATAGTAAAAGTCTTTCAACAATTGGTATCAAGGAAGTAATAAATTTTATCACATTCAGGTAATATAAGGCAGGTGCATGGATATAAACTATTTACCTTTCCCTCTAGCTTTTCAATTTTGGCAATGGCCATATCAAGCTCCTCTTCAAGCTCTGCTAACAGTACGTCCATCATTTTCCGCTCTTTGACGGCCATTTGAAAATGTTCTTGAAGTTTCAACTTATCTCTCACTAGATTCTCCAGCTCTATCTGCATATCATGTAGTTTTTGTTCTAGCTGCAATAGCAACATAACCACCATTGGATCTCAAATAAACTATATGCTTAGGGAGAAATGGAGAAGAATAGGTGGGGGGTACTTTAAAAGTATCAGCCTACCCCACCCCCATTCTTGGTGACTAGGATGATGCTCGTAGAAGGGAAGATCAACAACAGGTAAAAGCATACGCCGACCCCATAAAACAAAAATTCACAGCCTATCAAAGGGATGGTTCCCTATGGTGGGGTGCTCCTCTCCCAGCTTCTTTTCTCTATACTTTCCTTCTCCCATCTCTTTATAAACTTAAAGCTACCTCACTTTTTCTATTTTAATTAATATTAACTTCCTTCATCTTGTTGCTCCAAGGGTAAGTAAAATTAATCTGACCTCAAGCTATATTTAGTGCTAAATATTCAAACTTCAATCAACACATAAACTATTAGGTTATAAGGAGTTAAAACATTACTAGGTTACTCAGTTAGTTAGTTAGAGGACTTAATTAGATGTAAATAGGGGAAGAAGGATAGGAGAGACACTAATTTGTTGTTATTGTAAATTGTGCATTGGGTCGGGGAGAAAGGAGAAATCTTGCAGGAGCCGTTTCTCTCCTATTTCTTGTTCTTTCCATCCTATTCAATAAAAAATCTTTCTTTTCTTTTTCTATTAAATTCTTGATTCCTAACATAAACCCTATTCATCCAGTTATAGCTAGAGAACTATACCATACTTCAGCATTATGAAAGGGAAAGTGTTGGAATCCTATATCTCAGGTATTTTGAGAAAAGTTCATTTGTATTATGCTGATATCAAAACTAGAATTGCAAATTAAACATACTTTGGTTAGGGGAAAATGAATTGTATTGTGCAAGGAGCAAACCATAATAAAATGAATACCAAATGAAGACTAACCTGCCTCTCCTTTTGAAAGACATTCACAGCTCTTGCAGGGAGGGAGATAACCCCAAATGTCCATGTGATAACACTTAATATTATGTTTACATGGAAGCTAATAGTAGTCCCGATCAACTCCGTCCAAGTATATATGACAGCTAATGCTATTTTGATACCAAACCAAAATGCCAGGTTAAGTAGAGAGAAAGGCCTCATCACCAAGAATATTATGTTGCAGATTATATCGAAAAGCAATGCCATTAGTCAGTCAAATGAAAGTTATTCCCCCTCAATCATTACATGGTGAACATATCGATAGTGTTTCACTATATCACAACATCCTGCAATATCAAGAAATTCATGAGAAAAAATTACTGGGGACAAAATAGCGTGGTGCACATAAATAGGTAGAAAATTGTATAGCTTCACTGGACTAATAGAGTAAAGCAGTCGCCTTGGGTGGCAATTGTTCAACAACAAGACTTCATTAGAAATATCATCTCACATTACAACTGAAAATCTTTGAAGCAAAAACTGGAAAGCTAGAATGAAATTGGACAGAAAATAGGAGAAAGAATTCTCCTCCTCCAAGGATTTTACTTCACAGAGGATCTGTCCTTTCACAACAAAGTTATTACTCAGTTTTCTCAACTGATACAAGACAGAATGCCTCCTTTAACTAACTGCCCCTCTAACTATTTTTCCTTTGCTTAATCACTCGATAGAATTATACCAAAATTCAAATCAAATTCAAATTGCTATCCTTAAATTTGGCAGCTGGTCTTGATTTTAACTATCAACTCTATAAAGCAACAAATTTTTCCAAGTGTTGCCATGGTGGAGAATACATATCTCCCTAATTTAAATGTGCAACCACAGTCAAAACAAACAGGCAATAAGAGAAGCAAATACAAGATCATCATTTTACAATCTTTTAAGAAAGTTACTACTGGAAAATTTTCAAGTCTCCCACCTTTCCCCACGGCCCACATACACATTGACATACAGAGGTGCAAATTTCAAAAAGATTTTTTTTAATGATTATATATATTAAATCGTTTAATTTTTGTTCGGTTCTTAAGTTGGCCACATTTTAGCACACCTCTGTAGACTACTAGTATTTAAATTAAATGTTTGTAAAGATGAATGATTCCCGCAAACTACTCTTATAGTTAATTGAATTGTGTATATTTACTTAAGCAGAATATTGAATCCCATGCTTACAAATGCGAATGCCTTTTTTATTCATAGGTCAGCATATCTTACATCAGCCAATGGTGATACTTATTTTATGGCTACATTTATCAAACCAATGTCTCATCATTTTCCCTTAAAATCCTTGACTTACTGTGACTGCACAATTGATAGAATTCTTAAAAGCTGGATGAACCCAAATTCAGATTCCAATAGTCAATGAACAATAGTAATACCAGTTGGGCAAAGGATATCACAGAAATCCCTTTTTTTTTTTTTTTATTCTGTTCACACTATATGTGCTTATTGGATTCATCAATTAGTAAAAGAATGAACCCAGTTTACTAAAAGTTCAAGCCCTACACTGCCTATTGCCCACAGTATCAAGCATAATAGTCAAAATTTTGTTTAAAGAATCTACTCAGAGCATCAGCTAGAGATGACCAAGAAAACATAATAAAAATTCTCAAACCCCCTGCATGTCCAGCAGGGATACCGATGTAAGAAAAACCTAAGAGAAGCAAAGTAGATTACTATATCCTATAGCAATGGCAAAAACTGGAACTTCTCTGAGCTATTTCAGCATTTACCATTGGACTTTCACCATCAAATAAATGCACAAACAGCAGCACACACAAACACACACCTCCACGAACAGAGATAGATAGAATAAGACTAAATGTGAAAAAATTGACAAAGTCAATATTAACAAAAGGGACCATCCACGGACAACGGCATAACTTGAAAATTGAAATATCTTCCACGGCCATGAATTCACTAAAAGAACGAACTTGCACAGAAATGATCAAGTTCCAGATAACCAAAATCGTGAAAGTGAATTTGGATGAGAGCTGAAAGCTCAAGAAAAAAGAAGTTCAAACCCTTCAAACGGATGATTCCAAAACGACGAAAGAAAACTTGAAAACAAGAAAAGGCATTGAAGCGAAAGTGTGGAAAAATCCATTGGCAGGAAGAGAGTAAGAGAGACTTACACTAGATGCAAAAGGGGAGAAGAGACAAATAGTTTTGGAGTTGAGAAGAGCAGAAGGTAAAGCTGAAAGAGAAGGACAAGGGAAATGAAGAAGAAGAGTGAGTGCTCACAAAGAAAAGGTATGTAGAGTGTGAGTTTGAAGGGATGCATGATGAATAGGTGGCAGTGAAAGCTTCTTCGACCTGCCACGTAAAGTGTGAAGACAAATTTTATGCACTCATATAACATCAATCCAATCTATTATCCACTCATATAACATAACCCAATAAAAGAAAAATCATGTTTTCCAACTCATAATGTTTGAATTAAAAAATTTATCTTAAAAATATTAATTCAGTTTTATTTGGATAAAGGATATGGGGTTTTACATTTAAAGTTGGAAATGTAATTTTTAAAACTAAGAATTTCAGACATTTATAATTATATGTATAATTCATGTAAAATATTAAAAATACACCCTACAAATAATTGGTTTACAGGGGTAAAATCAAAATTAAACTGTGTATTTCAAAAAAATAGAAAAATTAAATATATCTTTTGCACTTTTCTAAAAGTTAAAATAATGTCAAGAAACGATCCTTATTGCATGTTAGGAAAAGATTGTATTAATAATAGAAGACGATGGTCACGTCAATTTCCAGATTCTGAGTCATGCATCGTGTCTCGTTGAAATGATAACGAGTGTCCCTATATATAGTTTCTTATATTTCCCCGTGATTTATTTTCTACAAGTGGAAATCTTTATTTTGACAAAATTTTATCATCTAAGAATTGGGATTATTAACATATCGTTGCTTTATTTCTCAGCTTTCCACATCATTCAACTTGGTTAATGCATTATCAACCTATTTTAGGCCAAAAGTGTTACTTTTCACAATATATATTTAATAATAAAAGTAAATATTTTATTATAAATTTTACGTCTAAATTATTTAAAAATGAAAAAAATTATTTAAAATTAAAAAAAATTATTTATATAAATATTATGACCAAATTTTATATCATTTAATTATAAAATTCATAATAAAATATTCAATTTTATTTTTAATTAATTTTTTTTTAATATGCGACAAGGGAGAGTAGGTGTGCCATTGACGCATGCGTACATGACTTGAGAGAAAAGCTACGGCATATAGAAACTTTAGAAAGGTACCAAAAGAAATAAAGATTCAATGTTTGACACCCCTTTAATGTTAGTGGTTCAATTTCTATTTTTGGTGCTGCAAAAATTCATCAGTTTTCACTACATTTTCCATATTTGTGCTTTTTCTTAGCTCTAAAGGAAATGGCCTCTTGCTATATTTGTGGTTTTTCTTAACTTCATCAAAAGTTCAAATGAGTTTTTTCCTTGAATTCTCTCCCATGAAAATTTCTATCATCATCAAACTTCCCTAGTCTCTTTTTATGTTATTTAGATAAATTCTATTTCTTTATTTTTTAGTTAAGGACTACGATCTAATTAGACAAAAGTGTGGTACGAGAATACCTAAACTTCGAGAACGATAGAGAAAATATTTTTCAAGTAGTTTTTTCTTTGAACTTGGTTGAACAACGGATGTAGTAGCAGACAAACTGTTTGATAAGTTACCCTTTTGTCTTTTTCCTGTAAATAACTAAATTGAACTTGAACATAACTTGTTCAATACAAAGACGAAGAATATTAATTATTCAATATATACCATTAAAGCCATAAGCTTCCTGAAAAGAGTGTCCAATGCAGAGTCACATCGCTATAGCAGGATTGAAATATCTCCTGCAAAAGCAACGAATCTAAAAGATACTCAATTTTATTACCCGTAAAAATCTATGTGGGGAAGGTAGAGGCGAAAATATGCAGAAGAAAAGGGAAGAGTTTGATTTTTTGTGCAATTTTTGTGTGTTTACAGAACGAAAAATGAACTAAGAATCATTTAGACTCAGAGGTGCAGCGTGAGTGCTTAATGTAACTCCCATTGGAAGGGCGAAACTTGAGTTCACACTCCAAATTGCACCAGAACTTAACCGAACCTAAGGGTCCTACTCTCCACATCGTTCTCGCGCTTCCCTTCAAGACAAACCCAATCAAGTCACGCTTCCACGACTCATCCACTTCCTCCATCTGCTCAGGTGTTAAGGGAATGGAAGCAGACTGAACAACGTAGTTGAGTGTCTTGGAGTTGTTCTTGGCAACATCGAAGGGATCAGCAACCATCATTGCTATTCCCTGACCCTGGTAGCTTAGGTTGAACCTTATGTCGGAGAACGTTGCATGGGCCTTGGCGTTCCCGTTCTGGGCCACCACGATGATGGTGAGTTGGGTTTGGAGGAGGCCCGCGTAGTCGTTGCTGAGAAGGTCAAGGTGAGCGTTGGTGACGCTGATCACAGGGATTCTGGGGTGGATCACCATGTAACCCACGAAAACTACTATGCCTGCCACTACAACACCTATGGCTATGATTGTGCAGAGAATTGCTGCTAACCAGATCAAAGGGTGCGTGTTGCCACTATGATGAGTGTTTACTAATCTTCTTCTGTGGTGGTGCTGCTGATGCTGCTGCTGGTTCTGATACTCGGCCCCTTGGCCATGGTCACGGTGGGACGACGGCATTGAGATTGATCAATGGAAGCCAAAAATCAACCCATGTGGGGTTATTTGGGAGTTTTATGTTTGGTGTGGGAAGAGACTACTTGAGAAGGAGGAGTTGGGGTTGGCAAAGCTTAGTCAGGTAGGGAACTGCACAAAAAAACTGGTTCTTTATCTCTAATTCGTGGGAAGGTTTTGGTATCTTCCTTTCCTAGCTTTAAAGCATTTGTCTCCTACAACCTTATGCTAAACTAACGTGGTTTTTATATTTTCTTACGTTCGTCACGCCTCTCTCCAACAAGGTATCTTGGTCTTTAATCTTGTTGTAAAGTGAGTATATTTGTTTTTACACATTTTTTTACTCTTTTCTTAACCTTGATTGTGAAAAAAGTGAAGAGTGTCGAGATATGTGGCTTTCTCAACTAATTATCCACTTAAAGCGAAAATTTGTGGGGTAATGATAAAATAATAAAATGGTTTGTAAATATATATTACACAAAAAGTAAAAATACCAAACTTGCATGCCAAATACCTGCTCACTTGCTCTTTTCCTGCAGATTTCCTGGCTTTCAAGCTTTAATCAGGAATGGCTTTGCAGTTGGACCAGGAAGTTATCAATTGGTTATTTTTAGTGTTCGGATATACTGATGGTATTTCAATAAATCATAAAACATTTATTTAGCATTTTCATTTCTTATATTTAGTGTTTATTTAAATAATTTATTGTAGCAACTCCTGTCCCATGTCCATCACTTCCTTAGATCAAAGTGATGATCCGATTTGGGCCTCATTTGTTTCGTGGGCCGGTCCAAATGAGTCACAGGCAGCCACGTGATATCGAATGTAGATATCTCTTCGACATTATATGAAATACCAACAATTGAAAAATACACAAAAACATGTTTTTTTGTTATGTACTAAAAGATGTTTAAAGAAACCTATAATGATAAGAAAACGGTTAATTATTTTTATATAATTCGTTTTATAGATAATAATTGTTAAGTAATATTTTTAATAAAATCAATGACTTGGGTTTGGCGGCGGTGACCAACGTTAGTTAAGAAACACGTGTACGGGGTAAATTCCGAGTTTCCAAGGTTGTAGGTCCGTGGAGATTTTTATGGGTGGAAGAAATGATGGGTCTACGGTACGTGAGTTCCAGGTGTAGCAGATAGGTTCGTGCCGTGCAACTCTCACTCTCACTCTCACATTCTGACTAATGGCACAACGCCAGACACTCTCTACGTAATTCTGTGGCTAACACATATAGCACAACCCAACACACTCTCAACTTTCCTATAATTCTTCTACACTGCCTTAGCTTTAGCCATTACCTGCTTCACTTCTTCCTCGGACCATGAAACTGTCACAGGCATTGGTGCGAACACCCTTCTCTGCAACTTCACCAGCTTTAATCCGCACCCAAAATTCCATCTTGACCTCAAATGGAAGCAGAAGGGTCTTTGTCTTTGGGCACCAAAGCCTCAGAATCCCGAGTTGCGCCTGCAGCAACACGGGATCCGCTGTTTCTTCTTCTGCGGCCGCGAATTCTTCTTCGCCGCCGCATGTTGCTTCCAATTCTGGATATGATTCTGTGGTGACTCAGGAGCAGCCAGGGAAGTTGGAGGCCTTAGAGGAAGCCATTGAGAAGGTGAGAGTTATGTTTTCAAGGTTTCTTCTTTGCTTCAATCTTGGGTTGTTTGAATGTTTTTAAGTATGGTTGTTGATTGTTCTGTTTCTTGATGATTCATTCTGTAGGCGATTTATAGGTGCCGGTTTATGGCTCTTCTGGGAGTATTTGGGTCTTTAATTGGATCATTGCTTTGTTTTGTCAAGGTATGGTTTTTTACATTCTTGTTTACTTTCTCTTTGTTATGGATGTCATTTGCATCTTGTCTAATTTACCAAAACTATTTTAGGCCTTTTAATGGTTATTAGTTAGAGAAAATTCTGAATCCTCAGACTAGATAAAAGGGTATTACGTTAGACATTTTCATTTTTCATTTAATACTCTTTTTCTTTTTTATAAATTGTTATTAGGAGAATATTTAAAGTACTCACTGAGAAGAAGTTCCCTTTTTTTAAAGTATTCAGATAAGACAACGAAATCTTGTTGTGTACACCTTTATTTCTTAATTTTATTAATTTATTTGATATTTTTATTGACTTGTCATCAATTTTTTATGTTTCCCTGCTTAAAAGCTTGTTAATGATGGAATGGACCATATTAAATTCAAAGTAAACCTAAAAATTCCTCAAAATGTCAAAATTTAGTGTTCTGACCTCTGAAAATTATAAACGTGACATGCAATTACTTCTGATAAATTTATGCTGGTAAACATCAATTAGTCGGGTTTAATCATCCTTGACCTTGTAGCTAAGGATTATATATGAGGTCTTAATTTGACATGCCGTCATCCATCTCATTTGTTTGAGAAGGAAATAGATGGCAAGTAATATCATATCAGGATTTTATAGGTATCCTTGAGTCACCAACAAGAGCTGGTCGCAATGGTTATATTTATTTGATTCTTGTTTTCATTCTGAGACAAAAGTCCATGAGTACATGCTACGCATGTATCTGGGCCAGTTCACAAGTACATGAGTACATACTAGCCTTGAACTGCTTTTCAGATTAAGGCCAAATGCTAAATTCAAGGTAGATGCTCACCTAATTCCTTGGTTCAACTAAAACAATGGTTGGTCACTAGTATTGTTAGGAGTTTCATTTTGAGTAAAATTGTAAAATACTTGACATAGTAGCCAGTCAAGAGGCAAGCTCACCTAATGACTAGGTCTTTAGACAAAAATTAGATACATTACTATGAGTTATTGGTGTGGTTTTTCGGCATCTGTTTAGTCTTTTGGATTAGAGTATACTGATCATGTACCCAGTCATAACAATTGGTGCATCGATAAATGTCTGCTCTTGAAGATGGTGACACTGTTAGAAGTTTCACATTTTAGTAAGAATAAACTACTTGATATGGTAATTATCACGCAGGGCTGCACATTTGTTACAGCGTCGTTTATGCAATACTTTGTCAACCGCAGTAAAGTAATCCAAACGCTAATAGAAGCTATTGGTGAGTGCCTCTAAAGTTAAACTCCAATAAGTTTGTGCAATTGGGTTCTTCTTTTCTTGTTATATCTTCATTATATAGCATATTCTTCATTTCACTGTCATTAATGATAAATTGCATTAGTCCCTATCATCAATGAAATTAAATTTATAGAATTCCACAAAAGGGCAGTTCGGCAAAATATAAGGCATTGAGCACATTTTTTTTTCTTTTACTTTTATCAAAGGGATTTATCGAGGTACTGTAGTAGAGCTCTTTTAAACTATTCTCTTTGTTCTTTTATAAGTTTAGAATTTTGTTGTTCTATGAGGGTTTCTTATCTCTCCCATGTGTTTCTCTTCTTTCTAACTTTTGCTTTATTGTTCATCTAGATGTCTATCTTTTAGGAACTGTGATGCTTGTCTTTGGAATGGGTCTCTATGAGCTCTTTGTCAGCAATCTTGGCAGTGCAACCTCTCTTCCAGATCAAAAACCTTCTGACAGATCAAGTCTCTTTGGTCTATTCACTCTAAAGGTTAGCTTTGGGACATTATACTTCTTAGCCAACCTTATCTATGTAGGATTTTGTGTTCTATATACTGCTACTAGCTACTGCGTCTCTTCTGCATTTAGGCCATTTAAAGAAACAAGAAACTAAAAAGGCTTTTATTGAACTAAAGGTAGTGGGAGATGTGCAAGATGAAGAATTGTTTTACGGAAATTAAAAAAAAAAAAAAGTGAATATATAGATTCAATATAGCTTTCAGTCGCCATTCAATCGATCCACTATATGCAATTATCATAGCTAATGTTAGTTGAAATCCTCCAAGATGGTTACTTTAGGTGACTAATGTTCTAGGGCCATTCTCTTTGTGGGATATTGTTGACGGGTATGTGGAGAGCACGACTAGCATTGAATATTAAGGCAACTTTAAACGTGTCTAATGTTACTACTGTAGTTACACATTTGTAGGAAGATAATTGTGGGAACAGATAATGATCTATTCCAGTTAAAATAGTTTATACAAAGCTTATTTGGAAAATCTTATTTCAGTGATTTTGACAGAGAAGCTTACTAAAAATGATTTTTTTACTTGCAGTTTCATAACCAAACTTACCACTAAGTGCTCTAACTCGTAAAATCATGTTCTTATTTAAGCAAAGCATATTAAGTAAGTGCTCAACTTAACTACTTACCAACACATAACCACCCTAAATATTAATAGAGAACATGTTTAGATTTTAAAAAAAAGATATTGGTGAAAGTATATACAATGAGTTAAGCTTCACTCATGAGTAAAAAATAGCATTTAGAAAAGCTAAATGAGAAAATTTCTATAAAATCAGTTTAAACTGCAGCCTCGTGACCTTCTGATATATTTCTGTTTAAGTGACCACACTTCACTGGCTCAGGGTTTTCTTTTGCTCAGTAAACTGTCTGTTGAACTCTGTTCCTCTCTGTTGTTTTTCCTTTTCAGGGACGACCAAAATGGCTGAATTTAAAAACTGTGGATGAACTGAAAACCAAGCTTGGTCACGTCATAGTGATGCTGCTTCTGATTGGGTTGTTTGACAAAAGTAAGAAAGCTGCCATACACACTCCTGTGGATTTGTTATGCTTCTGTATTTCTGTCCTCCTTTCTTCTAGTTGCCTCTTTTTGCTGTCTAAGCTGAATTAGGCCAAATGATGTTCACCTACATGTAAAGTAAGGATTACAAGACGTGATACACAAGCATAAAAAAATAATAAATGTACCTAGCACTTGCTTTTGTTCTGTATATATGCTAATGCCTTGTACCTCTTAACCAATCACCTCATTTGAAGTATTCGAGGTTTCTTTTCCCTTCCTTATTTGGGCTGAAGAAAATTCATTAAAGCAATGACAAAGGCCATAAGGGATATAAATAAAGGACTTGGCTTCGTACTTTTTGTTGATAATTGCTATCAACTAAGTAAAAAGCTTGCCAATAAAATATGATTTGTTGCTTGTAGGCAAATCATAACTTACTAATCATCATTAAACAAATGTATCTGTGGAACAGTGGAAATTAAAATCAAGAGAATATATTCCTTAGAACCTGTTTGGGATAAAAGTATAGGAGATATAGGGAACAGTGTACACCAAAAGGTAATTCCAGGTATTTAGGCCAATATAAATACCATGATCCAAAAAGCGGAGGTGTCATGCAACATACATAAGATGAGAGATTGCTAAGCAAAACTGTTCCTCCATGGTGTACACAGTCTCTCATACTTGAAAATGATTGATACTAAAAGAAAGATGGTATGAGAAGCAGGATTGTCAAACAACAGTAAAACTAACTAGCATTTGCAGAGTTGCAGTAGCTGAATTCTCAACTAGTAGTTAGCACAAGCTTTGAGGATCTTAAAAACTGCATGGAGAAATTCTAGTATGCTAGAGTTGTAATCTGGTAGACCTTTCTCGTCAAAAGCATCCAAGAAACACTAGTTCCCCACCCCACATGATGAGCATCTGCCAGCCTTGAGTTAGAACTTCAAACAGACCAGGGAGTTTCTACCATTCATAATTAGATTCCTTCTGGAATTACCAACTGACCACAACTCAATTCACTTGATGATTAGCATGTTTGCTAACAAGGGGTCCATGTCAAGCACAAACTAGGGTTTTTCTCACATGTGACGTGAAAACAATAACGAGGCTCGAGTTAGGGACTTATATTAGAATAAGGTGGCTTAATACACACACCTTAACCTAAAGTTAATTGACCTAGCACTTGCCAAATGTAAGTAGTTTAACAATGAATCTCGAATAACCTTTGATATTAGAATTAAAGTTGGGTTTAAGGTCTCAATCCAACAAATTTTCTTGTAACTAAAATGAAAAAAAATAATTACAAACTCAAATGCAAACAGTTAACAATAGATTTAAGTTAGACTCAGATTATATATTAGAAATTAGGCATAGAATTTAACTCATTTAACGTAAAATTGACTTGAAAAGGTAAAGTATGTGAAACTTGAGTTGGACACTTGTATTTGAATATGGTAGCGTAATACACTGTTGACACCTAAAGCTATTAACATAGAATATGCCAAATGTAGGTAACTCGAAAGTGAATGTATAATGAGTTCTTATATTATATAAGAATTGAATTTAAAGTAACAATTACTCTAAAATAAGTTTTAATATCTTATTAGAATTTAACTTGGGTTTATATCTATCTTGAACCCTCAAAACTAAATAATATCAGTGGTTTGAATCCTTAATTAATATAGGAAAAGTGGATTAAGTAATTCTAAATTGTTTTGATTTATATTTTTTTAAAATGTTTTGTTTAGGATTAAAAATTAATATAAAATCATATTTAATTTTTCAAAACAAATAATGACATATCTTACATCATATAAAATATGAGATAGAGGAAAAAAATAAGAAAGACAGAAAGAGAAGAAGGTAAAGAGGAGAAACAGAGAAAGAAATATAAGAATGATAAAGAGAGGATAGAGAAAAGAGAGTAAAGACAAAGAGAAAGAAAAAAAAATTGAAGAGAGGAAAAGAACATGAGAGAGCATAAGGACATATAAGGAGACAAAGAGGGAGTATGATTTTTATTTTTATTTTTAGTTTTTAAATAGAAATATAACAAAAATATATTTGAGGATGATGGAATTTATTAGTATTTTCTTTTTTATATTTATTCATTTTTTTTAATTTAACACTTTTAATTTATTTATTTTTTTGCCTATTTTTATGTAATTTTTGTGGTTATTTACTTTATTTTCAATCACATCATCATTAATTTTATTTTACAAAAAAATAGATACAAAAAATGAAAAAAACATTAATCTCGAATTATATTTATAAAGATAGTTTAGGATAACATTTATTAAATAATTAAAAATAAATAATAAATACTAATAAGTATAAAATGAAAAATATGTTATAATGTTGATTAATAAGTCAAAGTTAAGATTGATAAATGAAAAAAAATCCCATTTTAAATAAAAATTAAATATGAAAATCAAAAGTTTTCTTAAAACACTTAGAGAAATTTTCTTACACCAAAACTAAACTTTAATTCCTCAAAATGCATATTATGAATATAAAAGTCTAGAAAGATTTATTTAAAATTATGAATGTAAAACCCAAAGTCTACTCACTAAGTAAACTTGGACAAGCTCTAAAATCCTAATAGAATTAATGACTAAAGATTCTATAATTATAAAAATAATAAAAGTGTATATAATGCTTAAAATAGATTCAATATTAAAATTATAAAAAATAAATTTAAAATACAAAAAAAATCTAAAAATAGTCAATATATTGTTTACCCACTCATCAAAAGTGCATACAAAATACCCTTGTCACACCAATCAAAAGTGTATGCAAAAAAAGTTAATATTATTGTTAATAGTGGTATTAATTTAGTAATTAGAAATATAATATTAATAAATATTTGATTATTCTCCATATAAAATAAAAAAGATATTTTATTTTTACTTAACCACATTGATATAGTTTTTTTTTTATTTAAAAGAAAACTTTGGAATCATGTTATAATTGAGTTCCTAATAAAATTGGTTAATTAATTTACACTTGTAATCAATTCCATTTGTTTGTCCACTTTCTTTCCCTTTGCTCATACTTGGATCATATAAAATGATTATTATCGCACCCACCTTCAAAATAACCATTGTGTTTGTTTGAACCCTTTTTATGCTTTTCAAGTAGCATCTATTAATAAGATACTTGGACCTACAAAGTGCCATGAACGGCAAGAATATTTGACTACTTGCATGCTACTTTTACATACAATAAAAACACCCCATTTACAAAAATGAACTCACTTCAAAATCTAAAAAAATATACACCTATTTTTTTATATTTTTATTTCAACCCTCTAAAGTAATGCTTCTTTAACTTCGTCAGCAATGAATCTAGAGATTAAAATTTTTCTCATTGTAGTGTAGAGAATGTATTAGTTTGATTTGATTTATATTTTAATAAAACTAATATGATATAATAACTGTTTTAGAAAAATAAATTAAAAATATAGTTATTAAGCATTAATAGAAAATGAGTGAAAGTGGGTATATATATATATATATATATATATATATATAGATATACATAAAATGTTATGGCAAAGAAAAAGATAATGTGGTAACAATGAAGACAAGTTTGAAAGGTGCAAAAGTAGAAGAGACAAAATTTGCATCAAGTGGAAACTTTAACGAAGAGAAGGTCGTGTTTGGTTTATGTCAAAAATAGCGAAGCATGTTCATCTGCCACTTCTTCAATATGCAAATACATTACATAAAGTATATGCAGGAAACTTTTCTTCTTTGTCTTCTATTTTTTTTTTTTCTTTCTTTCTTTCTCTCTTCACCACTCTCCACCCACCACGTACCACCACCAATAATATCTCACTAAGTTTAATGTTGTCAAACACGTCATACATATGTACTACGAAAAATTATTGGTTTCTTTCTCATCATTAAATATTTACAAGATTTAAATATTGTTTTAGTATATATATTATGAGTTATTTAAATTAATTAATTATACTTAATCATATAATTAATCTATATTAATATAAAAGTATTTATAATAACATGTATATTTATTTAGTACTTCAAAAAATTGACTTTTAGTTTCTGTGAAAATAAATTGATTTTATTACTATTTATTATTATTATTATTATTATATATTGAGATATTTTTTATTATTTTTTAGATCTAGTAGAATATTTATTTTTGTCCTTGTATTACATATATAATTTTCAAATAGTTTTTATAAATTTTTTTAAAATGTTTAATAATATTATAAAAACTAAAGAAAAAAAATCCAAATATTAAAATAAATTATTAAGCATCAAAGTGAAAAGTTATAATGTCCAAAATTCAAACAAAGTATGTTTAACAAGCAAAACTATAATACAACTAAATTTTGAAATAGAAAAAAATATTTAAACCTTTAAAAAAAGTATGTGTCATAAACTACTCAATATAGTATTAGAGTTATATCACATGACCTTTAAAGTACTTGAAAATGAGTGACTTCTTTCAAAGTTTGATTAAGTGGAAAAAAGTTAATGAGCCATTTTTAATTAGTTTAAATGTTAAGTATTTAATTTGATTAAATATTTTAAAAGATATTATTCAGAATAATTTTATCGATTCAATCATTACTTATGTTGCAAGTTGCAAATACATTGATGTTGAGTGGCACTAGGATTAACCACACTTTGATGTTTATTTTATGATGATTATTATTCTATAAAAACCAAAAATCTGAGAGGTGGTATTTTCATCCCTTCCTAGTCAGAGTGGAACCATTGCCAAATATCAACCTTAGCTAACACTACCATAAAGTCACCCACTTTCTCACATTCAGAGTGTTACATGGATTTTTATGTGACTTAAGGTTTTTTTTTTAAACGACACATTAACTTTTATAATTAAAAAAATGGCAAGTTAATAATTAGGATTCACTAATATAAAATTATATTTTTTAAGTTCATATTTTCTGGTGCGATCCAATGTAATAAAAATACGATGACATTTTTAAAATTAATAATTTTTTTATGTCAAATCATACATGTAAAAATTGACATTTAAGTTAGAAATGGGTAAGTTGAATATAAATTTTAGTTTTTACTTCGCGGTTTTATTTTTTTCATATTTAGGATATTTTTTGTTGAGCAATAATGATATTAACATGAGTTTTTTAAGCATTTTTTAGTCCCAATAAATAACAACAACATCATATGATAATTTTAGATGTTTATTCCATCAAACTAGTCAAGTCATTGACCGTCTCAATTCTCGCCTCTAAGACAATTATTTATTTTTTTACAAAAAACGTATGATTTCTTTAAGTTTTCATTTCTATTCTAAATTTTTTATGATTCTTATTTTTTATTTGAATTTTAAAGTATCTAGACATCGAACTTCGATAAATATGTTCAATAAATGTTGTTCTATTCATGAGGATATATTTATGACTCTCAATGTCTTCTTTATTAATGATGTTCATATTTGGTCCAACTTCAATCATTTGGTATAAATACATTTTTAGAAATAAATTTTACAATACCGTCATTAGTTCCTATTTTTGTTATTATTATTGATTACGATTTGTTTCTTTCATCATGTATATTACACTTTAAAATACCTAAATTTAAAAATTATTCTCTATTTTACGCTTGTTTAATACATTTAATAAAACATGGAAACATTTAATAAATTTAGGTTGAATAATGAACCAGTGAAAAAAATTTAGATTGACGTAAATTAAGTGTATATTTCACAATTAGTATTCACATTTTCTAGTTCCTGTAATTTTTACTATAGCTATGTTGTAAGTTAGCTAGGGTTTATATTTGTTACATTTTCGGGTTCTCATTTTGATACAAAAATTACAGTTTTTCTTCGGCATTAATTAAGGAACTATTTTGTTTAAAAATACTTTGAGAATACATTCTGAGGATCTGCCTCTTGTCTCTTGATATATATATATATATATTGGGGTTATTTTGATCTTCTCCACAATTTGAGTAAGTCTCAGGAACCAAAAATGGAGAGGTTATGGCACGTCAATCAAAGTGACAATGGAGAATCATATCAGACACTCAATGGAGCAGACTCTGTATCTACCAAAGTGGAAGAAGCATTTTCCTTATAAAACTTAGTAAGCTGAATCTGTATATATTGCTAGATCAATAATAATATAATATAATATTTCATATGAGAAAGTTAATTATTGATTAAAGGCAATATATATTCATAGTGTTGTCTAATCTCGATCAAAATGCCCTTTAATTTAAATCATTCTAAGGAATGGTTGGAGAAAAAAAATTAATGGAGTCAAGAATGCACACTGGACTTGCTTCATCAGGAAAATATTCCAATGCTCACTGCTTTCTATTTATGTAATTCATCAATATTTAAAGGGGCATCACCATGTGCATCAAACACTTATTTTATGTTCATGTTGAAGGCTTCTTGAATATCATGAATGCACGTGGGACCGTAGTCATGTTAAATAGCCCTAGCTCTTACGGATCACAGCCATCGATGAGTAGAGTGGCTAGTGTGAATTCACTTCCTTTTGTTAAGATATTTTTTCTAGGTTCAATTCATGGCAGAGAAAACAATCTTGTTAACCTGTCTTTTCTTCCTTATTCTGCAGCATAACTTGGGTGTATCAGTGCAAGCATCAAGGATGCTAAACCTTCATCCACCACCAGATATTCATAGAGTCTTGTTGAGGAGTCCTCTACCTCCTTCCCTTGATTCTTGGTATTCCATAAACGATGAACAGAGCGATGATGCCTTTCGTCCTACAAGTCCAGGTCATAGCCCTGGGGTGGGACATCAAACACCACCACCATGACTTAACTCAGGATTATCTATCAAAATAGACTCCAACACGCCACTATATAGCTAGATATTATGGGATTGAATATGTCTTCTTTCCTTCATCTTTTTCTCATTGTTTTCTATTTTGATGTGTTACGAATTTTCCCGTTTGAATGTTTGTGTTATGTTGGACGTGCTTTGAGGCAACATGATGTTTCTTTCATGTTTTCATAAAATATTTTGTTGGATTTATCAAGCAATGTATGCGATCCCAAACTTCATTTAAATGTGGGGGAGTAGTTTTCTAACTTTTCTTGATATATGTTTATTTCTCTTCCATTTATAATTATATATTAGATCATTTACTATATTATATCTATCTCTTCCTCTCTTCTTCTTCTTTTTTCTCTTTTCACATCAATAGTCTTATTATTATTATAAATGAAATAAAAGATTGTGTATCTTTACAAAAGAATTAATTAAGATGACTAAAAGATTGCTTAATTATTACTAAAGCATATAACATAGTTTATAAAAATAAGTGTAGCTAGTAGTGATTCATGGAAGAGTCACTTTTGAATAAAAAGTCAGAAAGAAATAATATTATCAGTAAAGTTTAAATGGTCGAAGATAAAATTAACATTTTAGGAGGATCGACAAAGAAGTTAAAGAAATAAAGACGTAGATGACGGTTAGAAATTTATTAAGTTGTAATACACATTAACGATTCGATTCTTTGACGAATTGTAGAATAGGAAACATGTGTTTTTCTATGTTCTAAACCATAAAATATGAGTCTATTTGGAGTGATTATTTTAAGATGTAATTAAAAATCTCATATACTTTTAATTTTTTTTATAAACGTTGAGGAATAATATTAATGAAATTGGTATTATCTTTTCACCCATTTTTTTTATTAGATTTATGATTGTCGTTTTATATTATTCATTAATCATTTTCTTTAGTTTTATTTCAGTTGGAATTTGTTATAATTTTATTGATTGGAACATCCGCTTTTTACATTACCTTCAATTAAGTTTTATTCTCAAAGCTAATCTAAAAAGTTTATGCTTAATAGTTTTTCTTCAAAATAAGAAATTATTACAGGTTCATAACTAATATTGTGATAGCATGCAATTGAATATTATTATTTCAGATTATATTTTGATATAAAATTTGGTTAAAAACTATTGACACAACAGAAGAATATGTGTAATAAGTAAAATAAGAGCATTTTGGTGCCGCAAAGTTCGTACTCATAATCATACCCTACTTTAAAGACAGTTGATAATGGTTGAAAAGATAGTGGCAAAAGAATAATTTAGAAAGATGAATATAGAATGTTGTGAAGGTGTTGTAGTGGACCACTTTGACTCTGTGATTTTCCATGAGAGATTGCTTCTTTGTCTTCATTCATATTTGATTCCTATGTCATCATCTATTCATATTTGATTCCCAAGTGGCATGTCTCAATAATAAACAAACAAACATATCTGGGTACGAACCACACACATTATGTATTATCAGACTCCAAAGTGACACCATTTTTAAACATCATAGGATCGAATCGAATGTTTATACCAATTCTTTTCCTTTTGCATTTGGGTGCTTTTATCTTTTCTCCTTCACCCATCACTTGCTTATGTGAATAAAAAAAAATCAATTGAAATTAATAGTTGGTATGATGGTTAGTTGAGTCTTGGTGGAAGACTAATTTAATATACTTCATGTTTGGTTAATTTTACTATCTTTTAATAGTAATAGTTTTTTTTAGTGTTTACTTAATTATTATTTTCATTTAAACAGCTCTATCATATTATTCTAAATAAGGAAAAGCTCAATAATTATAAAATTCAGGATAATAATAATAATAATAATAAGTGGTTTTTCAATACTTTTAAGGGGAAAGGTTTTATTTTCACTCTTAGAACCATTAATTTTATTTACTTAAATATCAAAATGTCCAAATTTTGAATTATTTGAGTTAAATATAATTATTGTACTATTTTATTTAATTAAAATTAAAGTGGTAATTTCACTCAATAAATTTAGAAAATTGATTCCAGACATTATAAAAGGCTATAAATAATGATAGTGACCACGGATAATTTGTAAAAATTATTTAATTTGCTATTTTATTTTTAATTTACTTGAAAGTGCTTATAGGAAAAAAACTATAATAAGAAGTTTAACATTGAAGTTATAAGTAGATTAAAAATGAGGTGAAGAGTGTTTGAATGTAAAAACCTTTAGAGGTTAATTTATTTTTTAAAATAATTTAAAACGTTTTATGATAAAAATGATATTTAGATAAAAAATTAAAAATGAATTGAAATTTTGTAAATTTAATAGAGTAAGTTGATCACCTGATATTTTATAAATTGGCTTGCGATTTTTATGTATGAATGAAGGTAATTTATGTATTAATATGGGTGAGATTTGGTACATAATGTTTATGTATCATAAAAACATTGTGGTTTTCTAAGATTTTAAGTACAGAATGTTGGAAATCTAACATGATAAAGAGTTAATGTTTTGTTAAATACAATCAATATCTTGTGAGCTTCGTAATAATGATCTGAAATTAATTAAGATAGTAATTATTATTAAAAGTTAATTATTTAAAAGTTAAATATTAATAATTGTTTAAATAAAAAACAAAAACAGCCCCTATACTCTAATATCTTGTTCAAGATGGAGTGGCCTGGCCTGCATTCAGAGACAGAATTGGCGAATAGGATTGCGTTTAGACCGTTCTTTATTACTAAAACCACCCCCTTTTTAAAAAAAAAACATATACTCTTCTCATTTTTCAAATAATAGTTTTATCTGAATTATACACCTCGTTTTCAAAGAAATTTATTTTCCGCTCATTCATTCTCTTCTTCCGCCACCAATTTCTTTAATTAATGCTCTTATTTACACACTATAAATTAACCTTTATTTTTTTTTGTCAATTAAAGGAAAACATTTATTGAAAGAATTAAATGATTTTAATAAAATTATTTAAAAAAAGTATATTTATCAGAGTTTTCAATCTATATATGTAAAAAAATTTAAACTAGAATCACAACTATACATAAAGAATACATTATTCAAATATACCGTGGAACAAAACGTAAATAGAAAAAATAGGTGAAGTTCAAAAATCTTCAAATTCCTGTTGATTAAAATATGTTTTTCTCTGGAATAATCAACCATAACAAAACATAATGAATTTGTCTCCACCATAATAAAAACAATATATACATTGAAAGAAGAGGGAGACATGCAGATATGGGTGATTCCACAGGTGAATAAATAATCAGCAGCATAGTTGTTTGGTGGCAGAAAACATGACTTCAACACAAATAATACCCTTATCTTTGAGATTATTATTTTATTATGCATTGACAATAACCTTTCAACAAACAAATATAATCAGGATAGAAAGTTTATGAAGGTTGCATCTGTAGTCAACATTGATTCGGTTAAATAATGTATTATTAAAAAATAATAAATAAATATAAAAAAATAAAAGAATGAAAGAATAAAATTATAAATATATAAATAAATATATAAAATTATTATTAAATTTTGAAGATAAAATTATAAATTATACTAGAGTTACAAAACTGATTAGAAATTAAAAGATAAAATCGTAAATATATAAGTAAATATATTAAAATTTGGGATCAAAATCATAAATTACATCATAGTTATAAATTTGAGGGAATTATGGTGCTTCGAATTCTAAAAAGATTCGTTGTAAATATATATTTCTTTTTTAGATGAAAAACTTTTCAAGCTATGATCTCATTATGAGTCTTAAAATCATATTTTCATTAGTCAAACATTAATTTTTAATTAATTATTTCTTTTGAGATAATATGAATTAATCTTTGTTTAATAAAGGGAGGAGAGAGAAAGAATGGAAAAAGAAAAGGTTAATCTTTCTCTTTCTTTTTCTTCACACTTATTTTTGCAACCAAATAATGCATTGTGGCTTTGTGGGATGAATAAGTGCATAGTAGGGTTGGAGGATAAGTGTGTGGTTGTGAAGCGATATGAGATGAGAGACGTAGGCAATTGTGAAAAACCTGGATGATAAATTTGGTGTTAGATATTCAAACATTTATTGCAACATGCAAACGTGTATGTATGTATAACACCCAGCAAGAATCATGTACACTCAACTTGTTGCATCATGCCTGTTTCAAAATCTAACCACTCATTTATTACTCTCTAATTTATAACACTCAATTTTATTTTTTCTCCTATTCAAAAATAATTAATTTAGTTCACAAATTTTTTTTTAAAACATTTCAAATTATAACATTTTAAAAACAATAATTTCAATATAATCCTTTTAAAGTTTAAATTATTAGTTGGCTATAATGTTATGTTCTCTCTTATTTGTCCTTTTGTACATTAACATATTTATATTTTTAGTCCTGCTTTAATAATTTTAAAAAAATTATGGCATTTGTCATAAGATAAGACTGGAAATAAAATTTATTTAATGCTTTTGAAAACTCACCCTAGCGACATTTCTTGAGAAGAAAGTCATGAAGTACTGTTGTGCATAAATTGCATTTAAAGAGGAGAAGGATTTATATAATAAATAAGAAAAAGCAGTTCGCAAAGGAAAAAAAAAAAAAAAAAGAAGAAGAAGAACAAAGATCAAGAAGATTAGAGTTTCAGACTAGATGTGACATTATCATAAATTTATGAAAAAAAAAGTGAAATCCATTCAAGATTTCCTTAAAAATAATTTATTGAAAATTATATTTTTTAAATATATAAAAATTTTATAAATTTATATAATTTTTACTTTCTACGTTAGTTTTATTTTATTTTTTCCTAGTAGTAAATAATTAGCGTAATAAAAAAATATTTTTTAAATCAAAACAGTTTTTTTTTTAAGTTGAATAATGGGTCGGACGTAAAAATTAAAACTCACATAGAATACGTATGTTTTGATATAATTGTTTTATATATATTTCTTACAGGATTTTATCTTTTTCACTTACGAGGGTTTTTTTTGTCGTCACT